AGGTTTCCATTCAAGGCAGCATTCGTAGCAGTGACCCATTTCACAAGTCCTTGTGCAGACCAAATCTCACCTTTAAACTGAGGACATTCTCCTTATGACAATATCGCTGTATTTGGGGCGGAATGGTGGCTCAGTGGTTAGCGCTGTTGCCTCACAGTGCCAGGGACCCGGGTTCAATTCCACCCTCAGGTGACTGTCTGTGTGGAGTTTGCACATTCTCCCCGTGTCTGCGTGGGTTTCCTCCCGCAGCCCAAAAATGTGCAGGCTAGGTGGACTGACCATGCTAAATTGCCCATAGTGTTCAGGGATATGTAGATTAGGTGGGTTATAGGGGGATGGGTTGGTGTGGACTTGTTGGGCCGAAGAGCTTGTTTCCACACTAGGGATTCTATGTTTCCTGCTGCCCTTCTATGATAAAATGGGGTGGATTAGAACATTGAGCAGTTCAGAACTGGACAATTGCGACACAAATAGTTTGATGAGTGCAAGACAGCTTCAACAAAATGTGTTTTTTTTCCAGCAAAACTCAAGTTCTCTGCTACCAAATGGCTAAAATTAAAAGAATGATCAGGTGGAGAGAAGGTGACACAGCAAGTGGAAGATGTGGGATGATGCAGAAAGTGGACACTCTAAAGGAGTAATGGAGCTCCGCTATTGACTTTTCTCGATGAAAAACTCTGGCACTTCACAAAGTCAGGCAATTATACGGTAACAACAATTTGAATAAACGTATTTCACACATTTCCTTCTTCATAGGGGTGCTACATTTTACAAACACATGACTTACAAACAGGATCCTATATGGGCTGTAATTTTAAATATCCGACAGACGAATATTGCCTGTACTTATGAATGGCTGGTTTGTCCTGCACTGTGTTCTGACAAGCACAAAATCGAACTGTGAACAGACATGGGAATGGAATCCATTCACAACCCGGGGACTGCCTGTATTGTGTTTTCGTTTGATTATCGGGCTATAGAGAGGGCATGCATGTGGAAATGTGGTCTCCTTGGCTATCATAAAGACCTGCTAAACATGAATTTGTGGGCAGATCCGCTGGGATTCAACTCAGGGGGATTTTACTGTATAATGAAGTCCTGTGCTCCACAGCTAGATGCATTCTCCAGATAAGCTGCTCCAGTACAAACTACAACACTAGCATCCACCCAGGGTGGAAAAGTGACCAGCCATGTCCTCTCCGCAAGAAACAGGAGAAAACCAATCTTCTCATTAATGCTTAATTAGAAAATAGTTGAGCTGAATTGTCAATTAAGCTATTAATCACCAAGGCTCAGTTTGAGTTAAGCCAGGATCACTGAGCTCCAGACTTCATTAGTTCAAATATGGAACTAAAAACAATGTTCCAAACAGCTCAGTATCAGACAGGAAACTCTTCCCATGGTTCGAGTCATATATAACACAAGGATATATACATTTAAATGGAGGTAAATCATTTCAATTCTAGAACACTACAGGACGACACCCTTAGGGCAGCACTGCAGGCCCCTCTCCACTCAAGTGCTTTAGCAATGATCTTCACTACATTATAAGGTCAGAAGTGGGGATGTTTGGTGTTGGCTACTGATAAATTTTCACTATTACAGATAGTGAATCAATCCATTTCCACATGGAACAGGGCTTACACAGTGTGCAATTTCGAGTTAAATTACAAGTAATGCCTTGACCAAACAAGTAACAGGCCATGACCACTTCCAACAAGAGATGGTTTAACCACACTTCCATGACATTCAATGGTATCACCATCATCAGCTTCCTCGCCATCAACATCCTGGCAGCCACACTGATAAGAAAGTCAACTGGAACAGCCACATAAATGCTGTGGAGGCTGGATATTCTACAGCTCAAATCCCGACTCCTCGAAGCCTGTCCGTCACCTAGAAGGTATAAATCAGGTATAGAAAATGGGAACACAGGAGAGGAGGCCATCTGGCCTCTTCAAGACTTCGCTGCTATTTGATTAGATATGCTTGATTCAGTCATGGTCTTAACTTCACCTTCCTTTGTTCCCCACACCCCAAATAATCCACGACTCCCTTGTCTGTTAAAATCTAATCTACCTCAGCCTTGAGTAAATCCAATGACCTAGTGTCCATTGTTTTCTAGGAAAAAGATTTCCACAGAACAACAATTGAAAGAGAGAGATAAAATTCTCTTTACCCGGTCTTATGAGCAAAACCAATGATAATGTGTTCACTAGTTCTAGCCTCTCCTACAAGGGAGACATCCTCTCAGCATACACCCTAGCAAATCCCCTCAGGATCTTTTACATTTCAATATGATCACCTCATATTGTTATAAACTCCATGGGTAAAGGCCTAACCTGTTCAAGGTTTCTTCACATTCTAAATCCTTCATTCCAAGAATGAGTCAAGTGTATCTCCTCTTAACTGCTGAGGCAATTATATCCTGTATAAAATAAAGGAGACCAAAATTGTACAGTTCTCTAGATGTGGTCTCACCAAGGCCCTGTACATCTGCTGTAGCATTTCCCTGCTCTTACATTCCATTCCCCTTGCAACAAAAGTCAATATTTCATTTGCTACTTAATCACTTGCTGTAACCTGCAAACTAATTTTTTGTGATACATGTACTTATCACCAATATTTCCTCTAAACTGTGCAGGATTAGCAGGAATGCTGCTTACCAAGACACCAGATCCCTCTGTACCCAAGTTCTGCAGTGTCTCTCCATTTATATAGTATACCATTTTTCTATTCTTCCTGTCCAAGTGGACAAGTTCACATTTATTTTCTATAAGCCTTTATTTTCCCTCTAACACAACCTTTCTACGTCCTTTTCCAATTATTCATACTCTTGGCTCCTTTGTTAGTTTCCTCAAAAATCTGTAATTAACTAGTTAAACAAGTTTCCTTTCATAAAACCACGTTGGCCCTGCCTGATCACATTGTGATTTTCTAAGTATCATTATTAAGGGATTTGCGCAATTTCCACATGGCAGCGTTTGGTTAACTATTCTAAGGCTTCTGTCTTATTCCTTTTTTCACTAGAGCATAGGAGGTTGAAGGATGACCTTATAGAGGTTTATATCAATGTGCCCATATGATTTTAAGGTGAATAGCACGGGTCTTTTCCCTCGGGTGGAGGAGTTAGATCACAGATCATAGAATCCCTACAGTGTGGAAATCAAAACTGGGGGGCATATTTTTAATTTGAGAGGAGAAAGATTTAAAAAGGACATGAGGGGCAACTTCTTTTTTTAAACACAGAGTGGTTCATGTGTGAATGAACTGCCAGACGAAGTGGTGGATGCAGGTACAGTTACAACATTTAAGAGACGTTTGGATAAGTACATGAATAGGAAAGGTTTGGATATGGGCCAAACGCAGGCAGGTAGGTCTAGTTTAGTTTGTGAACATGGTCAGTCTGGATTGGTTGGACCAAAGTGTCTGTTTCCATGCTGCATGACTATGACTGGAGGAGTTCAATTTGCTATTTTCAATTGACTGGGACCCACTCTTCTAACAAGTGTAACTGCAACAATCAGGCAAATCACGAACGAGGGAACAAAGTCTGGAATTCATACACAGATCGGTCAGGTTTTAACTGAATGGTGGAGCAGGATAGCAGGCTGAATGACACACTTCAGTTCCTACGCACCCATTTTTCTGACTTGGAGTCATCCAAGAAAAAGTGACCGGTGCGCCAACGCTAGCTCAAAAACTCAATCTTTCCACTGTACCATAGCTACAGTGAGTACTATCTTTAGCACCTCCCAAATCTACAGATGTGCAGGTACACAATCTCTAACTTCTTCTACAAATCATGCACCACCCTGACTGGTACATATTCATTGCACCTTCAGTGTGGCATTGTCAAAATTCTGGAACTATTTGTCCAATAACGTGTTGGTAGTATTTTCATGCCAGGGACAGAAGTCAAGGTGATGATTAGGAATTGGAGAGGATTCCAGGCAGTGCCTACGTTCTCAGCATTGAGATTTTTAAAAACCTGCTGCAGCATGAGCAAACAGTCTAGTAGCACTGGAATCAGGGAGGCGGTCAGGAGATTCTGGCAAAAGCTATCAAAAAAAAAAGCTTTGATTTTCCAAATTACAGATCTGTTTGAAAAGACTGAGGGAAACCTAAATCAACGCCATGGAATTGAGGTAAAGGTTTAAAAATGAGTGGTTTGAGATTTTGGATCCCAATTAGATTTCTGAATTATGTTGCTTCTCAGTTTTCAGACACCAGCTCCTTGTAAAGGGGCAAAATGGAAATGGTCATTAAACTAGTACTTAACAAATTTTATACCCATTTTTTACTTAAGAGCCTAAATGTAGCGGTCAAGGTTAGCTGCCCTCTCGCCAATAACTAATGCATGGCTCAGGAATACCAGAATAAAAGGATGACAGACTTGAAATGAGGCAAAGTACATCTCCAAAGGTGGAACTTCAAAACAACATGCATTTTGTTCTCTCCCAATCTATACTTCCTTCGTCAATAAACCTTTCTATCTCTGCATTTTGCCTACCTTGTGTCCATTCCTAAATAGGGCTCTGTTTGATATTTCACCTCACTATTAATAGCAAAGCTTCCAGCTGTCTTTGTTCACTTCACTGGAACTATGTTCCTTAACCACTTTGTTCTTCTTTCCAGTTTCTGATGGACCTCAAGATTAATCTCAGTCCTGCAGGATAATCTCTCCCTTTCTGGCTGGGTGTCAATTTTCCTGCAACCTATTTAGGGAAACACCTTGGGGAGTTCTACTACGCGGTAGACACAATAAAATGCTAGCTAATATTGTCAGTGCTCTGTTTGCCTTCCTTTATTTCTTTATTTAATTTAATCTTTTTCTACTCTATTACCACAAAATATGTTTTACAGGTCTTAAACCAATCAGTACCTTCATTTCATTCAATTGTCTTGCTCCTTCCAGTTAGCACTTGCAATAACATCAGCAACAGAACCTGATGAAATCCTGATTTCAAGTGAGCTACAGAGGCAGCAGGAACACTCACCGAGAGCCTTTTCTTTGTTTTTATCCAAAAGCAGATGGTGCTCTCCCCCAGCAGGGTCCATTCGCATATCCTCACTGCCAGGTATCTCTCCTCTTGTTTCCAACATGACGCAGGTGGACGAGACAGATAGCAGTCCACTCTCTCTGGTGTAGCAGGCCGGATGCAAGTTGCACGCATTTTCAATTATTTTAGCAGTGGTATCCATTGCACGGAGGACAGGAGCAGAGTCAGTGCAGGCACCATCAACCAACAAACCTCTAGAAGCTACATGCAGTCCACAAACCTCCTGGGTTTCCATGGTTTCACCTCGAAACTGCATGTAAAACAAGAAAAAGACATCATTAATGGAATAGGGGAGAAAGTGGTTTTTGATTAACTATGTTTAGTTTGTACACTAATGTGGATTCAGTGTTCTGAATGTTAAAAGCACCACCTGAAAGGAACCAAATAAAGAATGGAAAGGAAGGTGGGAGAATCAGAAACCAATGGACAGTAAGTATAATGGGATTACAATCATAAGATTTAACAGCCAAGCAATTTGAAAGTAAAGATGACTGTGACGTTGGATTGAGGACAACGAAATGTCTAATGGTAAAAGACTGGAGAATATTAACTATAATCTCAACCTGGCTTTAAATACTACTAAAGCCTCAACAGTTTCAAGTTGTTTTTAATCAGCCATCAGTCCAATTTGGGTTTAAAAAAAACATCAAAATAGAACAAATACATTCCCCTATCCCCTGTTAGAAATTAATCTCATCTGTGAAGGAATTGCAAGTTAACTTATTTGTTTTTTTAAGCAATTTATAAAACAAGCAAATGAATTAAAATTATATGCAGGTATAAGTGAGCTTTTATGTCGCTAAGTAAATATTTAGACTGGACTTGTAGTTTTATTTTGGTTTGAGACAGGTACTTAACCGCTGTACAAAGGAAAGACTGAAGCCTCAACAGCAAAACCTGGCCTTTTTACTTGTTCTCTCTCTCTCACTCTCCCCCTCCCCCCCCTGCCATTCCATCCTGGGTTGCTACCTTAAATTATATATTTTTTTGATTCTTGAACAGAAGAATTTTCTTCAGTTCCCATTGTTGCTTGGAATCAGCATTCCCTTTGCAATCTACAAAACTGACAACTCCAAACCCACGAAATATCAAAATGTAAATATAGCCAAATAAATTAAGAATGCACAAGTGTATCTTGGAGACTAAAAGTGGTTGTTGCATTGTCTCAAAACTAAACACAACTGCACCTTCTAAAAATATGTATAATATAGTAAATCTTACATTCTTATATTACCTAAATAAAGGCAGAAAACAGCTTATTATGAAACAGTTTCATTGTGAACAGAGTACAGATTCGCCTGTTAAAAGGCAGAAAAGCATTTGCTCCTTCGGGTTATTCTATGAAATGCATGCAACTTTAAAAGGTCAAACGCTCAGTGGAATGAAAATGATGAATTTAAAATCGCAACATGTTGAAATAACAAAGTCCACAGGGACCATTTTTCTCTTTGATGGTCCAAGTGGCCGAAGTGATCAATATGGCTTGCGACTGCATTGTCTTTAATTGGGATGAAGACAGGAAAACGGTTTGTTATTTGTGACAGAACAGTCAGAAGCCCCAGAAAATATCAGTGTGGCGCACGCACACAATAATTTCATGGGACCAAGACACCATAAAACTGGCCACACACCACAGATCTCCAGCAAATTCTGTGCAATGGTTCGGAAAGGACTAAATTCATACTTGATCATGGTGGCAATTTGTCCGGAGTTGTCAGCACCTTATTAAACTGCAACTCAGTAGGAGTCAGCACAAGGACACTAATGGAAGAACAAAAACTGAAAAGGCTACCCCAAAACCTGTTGCATCCACATCACCTTGATTTCAGAGAAATAAGTTACCTTCTGAACTTTGAGAATGCCACTTAAAAGATACAATTTTTAAAGACAAACACATCTTAGGCACTCTTCAAAATGATAAACCAAACAAAGATTATCCTACTGAGAAAAAGCAGATAACCAACACCAATACTGAATAGACTGTTTCACTTACTAAGTGACATTAGCAACCAGAAGGGAGCTTTAGTCTGCCTTGTCCTGCTTCAGAATGTTGAACAGGACATGAAATCAAGTCACCACGTTTTGTCCAGCAGAACCAGTGGGATTGAAAAACGGCACCATGGATAATTATCTCGCTGAAATATATTACCTCTCACCATATGACAGGCTAACTGTGCGATTTACCACACATTCAAGCAACACAAAGCCTCCTGACATTATATTCGAACTAAAAATTTACATTACAGTGCAGAGGCCTATTTGAAAACTTGCAAAAATGTGACAAAAATGGTTTTCTCCCAAAATAAACATGTAGACATATGTAACCCCCCACAGTCTGCAAAGATCTTCAACATCCGTGATTGCCATTGTTGCTTGTGTACTCCGGTGCAGTTTGTCAAATTCTCTACTGCCGGTCCTGTCAACACCCCAAATTCTGTTGTAATCTCACTCTCACTGTAATTCCTTTTGTAGGAAGGCAGTTGAATGGGGTTCACATCTACACTGATACTGGAGATTGTAGCAATTGATGCATTTTTTTTTAGAAAGACTTAAAATTCACCACAGTTTGCTGTACACAATGGAAGCCTGGTATTTAGTGACAACTGCAATCTCAAACGTGTTTTAAAATTCACATGGTTTTAATTCAGTGCCACAGAGCTGAGTAGCTGTGGTGGGAGCAGTTACTGTTGATTTGGCAGTAACAGTAGGGAAGTTAACATGTACACACTGATGTGCTAATTCTGTTTCACTCACAACTACGATACTCGTACGGATCTAATCAAGCTCAGAGTTCAAGTGGTTCAATTCAATATCAAATCCAACAGAGGAGTCATTTGAGCTAATTTGATGTAGGGTGAGGGGGATGCCACTTGACTGCAAGTTTCTTCACAGACTCTCACGGGCAGAATTGTTGTAGATCATTGGGGAGAAAATCTAAGCTGGGAATGCCAATTCAAGTGAAACATATCCAGAGTTAACCCCAGCAATGACGAACAAATGCAAACATGTGAAATTATAGGGTTGTTAGGAACCTTCTGATTTAGTGGGGAACTGGGGGGAATAGAACGGAATGAGTACACAGATACATGGAGAATAGTTCTGGCATTGTGCCAACATAAATTAATCCTGCAGTCAACTTGGAAGCATCAACATGGAGCGGGGAAGCAGCCTTCAAAGGAAATAATGCACCAACTTCAATACTCACTCACTCCATCACCACCAGAGCACGGAAGCAGCAGTGTGTACCTTCTACAAGATTCACAGCAGCAACTTAACTAGGCCTCTTCGACAGCAGTTTCAAGACCAATGGTCTCTATCACCTGGAAGGGCAATGCCAGCAGCTCCATGGGAACACCTCCCACTTGCAAGATCCCCCTCCAATCCATGACTTGGAACGAATAAATCGCTGGGTCAAAATCATGGCAGCTAAAAGTGTAGTAAAGCATTTTCATCAGTAATAACCACACACCCAACTAATGGGTCAATTACAAACGTATGACTCTCAATCTACATGGCAAGGGTCAATTTGAAAGCCACGGAGGGTCACCCACAATTGAAAGGCCTCACGGGAGTGAGGGAAATAAAAGCAAAACTGGTATTAATATTGGGGGGGGGGGGGGGGGGGGGGGAAGAGAAGGTGTGTGCGCGTGTGCGTGTGCGTGTGCGTGGTGGGAAGCAGGAGATGCCTGGGCACCATTTGCCTTCACTTCAAGCATTTGGCTGCCCCAGTACAGCTACAACATTGGCATCTACCCAGCAAGGTTGAAAATTGTCCAGCAATGTCCTGTACATAAAAGACAGGACAAATCCAACTCTGCCAACCTCAGCTCCACCATTTTATTTTCCATACTCAATAAAAGTGATTGAAGACGCCATCCGAAGTGCTGTCAAACTACATCTGCTTAGCAATAACCTGCTCAACTGACACCCAGTTTGGATTACTCCAGGGTCACTCAGTTCCTGACCTTATTACAGCCTTGATTCCAACATGGACAAAAGAGCTGACCTCCAGAGCGGAGGTGAAATTGACAGACCTTGACATCAAGGCTGCATTTGCGCGAGTGTGGCATCTGGGAGCCCCAGCAAACATGGATCAGTGCGGAACCGTGTGTGTGTGTCGCTCGAAATGGACCTCACTACCAGTTGGAGTCATACCTGGCACATAAACAAGTTGTGGTTGTGGTTGTGGTTGTGGTTGTTGGAGGTCAGTTATCCAAGCTCCAGGACATCTCTGCAGGAGTTCCTTAGTCCCATTTATCTTGAGTTGTTTCATTAACAATCTGCCATCCACCCTAAAGTCAGAAGTGGGAATGTTCGCCAATGATTCACAATGTTCAGCACCATTTGCGACTTCTGACATACTGAAGCAGTCCATGTTCATTTGCAGCAAGACCTGGACAATAACCAAGTTTGGGCTGACAAGTGGCAAGTAATATTCACACCACAAAAGTGCCTAGCAATGACCATCTCCAAGAGACAACTTAACAATCATTCTGTGATATTCAACGGCATTACCATCACTGAATCCTGCGCTACCAACATCCTGGGGAACTAAACACGGTGGTCAGAGGCTAGGAATACTGCAGTGACCAACTCAGCTCCTCACTCCTAAAGCCTGTCCACCAACTAAAAGTCACAAGTCAGTAGTGTGATAGAATACTCCCCACTTACCTAGGACGGATGCAGCTCTAACAATACTCAAGAAGCTTGACACCATCAAGAACAAAGTGTCCACTTGATTGGTATCATTGACATTCAGTCGCTTTACCACTGACACCTAGGACCAGTAATGTGCACCATCTACAAGATGCACTGTGGAAATTCACTACGGCTCCTTAATCAGGACTTTCCAAAAGCAACAACCACTAATATCAAGATGCACAAATGCAGTAGATACATGGGAACATGACTACATGCAAGTTCCACACCATCCTGACTGGGAAATAAATCGCCGGCCCCTCTCTGTCACTGGGTCAAATTCCTGGAACTCCCTCCCTGATGAAATTGTGGGTCTAACAATACCATATAGACTACAATGATTCAAGAAGGCAGCTCACCACCATCTTCTCATGGACAACTAGGAATAGGCAATAAATGCTGGCTTGGCCAGCGACACTCATGCCATATGAATCAATAACTATATGTAAAAATAGAAAATGCTTTGTTGCACCATATTAAAGCTTTGAACTTGTTTTGTAGATTGCACCTTGCGACACAAAACCAGCTTCTCACTCAAGCAACATGCTAACA